AAAAAAAAAAATATACCGACGAATTGAATACCTCCTTCTTTTGGGAAGTCGGTCAAAAATCGAGTAGTGTGACCTCCACATAAGCTCATAGGAATCAAAGCGAGACTAATCAGTTGTGTGACAGTTTAGTCAAAAGTGTGCGAGTGTCCTTAGTTTTAGTCACTAAGGAACTCTCACAGTGTAAATTTTAAAGCTTTAATAACCATTGGTGACTACTTAATTATTATAAAATACTACTGACTGTTTCTATAAGTGCTTCCTTGAAAATCTTTTGTCGTACTTTCAGTACATTTAGATGCTTTTAATTTTTTAACACAAGTTTATGAAATGTAGCTAATAAATCTTTGCTAGTCTTAAAAATTGACTAGCTGTTGCTAGCTACTTTTATAAAATATATAGCCTGTGTTACTCACTGCTAACGTAGCTTTGTAATGGTGAAAGAATTTTAGAAATCGGCCCAGTAGTTTTTGAGTTATTTCAATACATACAAAAATACAAATCTGTATAATATTAGTATAGATAAAACTTAATACCATGTTCCGCTTGACGACAAGATATTGTCATAGTATGTATATTACGATCATAGAATAAATAAGACAGATGTTGCCATCAAGATAAATAGTTAATCAAATATAACAATCATTTACTTAATAAATGAAAAAGTAAATATAAAAGGCAGAATTTATCAGTACTGGAAAACCCAACTTAGAGCTTGGTACACTTTCGATTTAAATGGTCCTTGACCCTAGATCCCAGTAAAGATTTAACAGTGGTAGAGCCCGCTTTAACATAAGAGCTTGCTTAAGAAAGGAGTGGATTCAGATATGACGGCTGATAGAGATATATGGAAGAGCAGCACATACTGTGCCGACCCTCCGTAAGGGATAAGGGCAAGTGGATGATGATGAGAGCCCGCTTTAACATCTTTGCACGAATGGGTCGGTTCGCCCGGTGTGATACTTGACCACACAGAAAACAGACGTGAAGTGGAAGCAATTACGCGTTTCGTCTGATATATATGGTGCTGCAGGCCTAAGTTTAGTCCCTTTCCCTTTCCACCCTTTTCTTAAAAGGAAAAGATGGGAAGGAAAATTGAATTTTACGGTGGAGGAGACGCATAGGAAGGAAAAATGTCCTCTTTATGTGCGTCTCCTCCTCCGTCAATTTAAGATAGGTAACGCATCTGCAATTGCGGATGTTTATGGGCAGCGGTCGCTTTCCATTTCGGTGGATTCAGGTAGCCGCTTGCTCGTTTGCTACACTATGATATAAAAAAAGACATGTCCAGAAAAAACTGGTAAAACAGTTCACTTCCTTAAATCTAGTAAATGAATAAGCGCTGCATATATTGAGAATTTAAAAAAAAAAACAAATGTGCCTATGTGTTCTTCCGGACTTTCCCCTATACATATGACAATTTTTATCGACATCCTTTTAGCAGTTTAGGCTACAAACATTGACAAACATCCATCCATCTAAACTTTTACCTACAAAGTTATAAATGCGAATGCTTTTAGATGGATGGATGTTTGGTAGCGTTTGTAGCCTAAACTGCTGAACTAAAGTCAATGAAATTAGGTATAGATGTACAGGTAGTCTGGAGAAACACACAGGCTACTTACTTCTGTTTTTTGATAATTCCCCGCGGACAGAATCGCGGGCGAAAGCTAATCTATAATATTAGCCATGAGTCAGCTGTCATATAAACACTGACGACCGATTGCCAGGAACATGTTTACTGAACAACAAACTCTCTTGCACGGACAATGACGTCATTAATACGTCATTAAACCAACCTATGATATAACAAATGGTAACTATAAAGCTTCCAAAGACATTTGTACAATATATAGAAGTGAACAAAATTTTTATTACCGGTACTATCTATGAAAGGTAATATATCAGTTGCCACTTTTAGTGCCACCTCTGTTCTTGTATTAACATGCAATAAATCATTAAACAAAATTATAATAAGCTCCATCTTTTGTTATAAAATGAAATATAAAAATTTAAATATAATAATGATACCTATTATATTAAATACAATCTTATTAATATTATAAACCGAAAGTTTGGATGGATGGATGTTTGTTAGAGTTTTTAGCTTAAACTGCTGAACGGAACTCAATGAAATCTGGCATAGATGTAGAGGATAGTCTGGAAAAACACATAGGCAACTTACTTTAATTTTCTTAATCCCGCGCGGACGGAATTGCGGGCGAGAACTAGTTATACTGACACGTGGTTTAGAGGATCTATCAATAGACAGCGTTATAGCGAAAAATGTTACAAGAGAAGAGTCAAAAGCCTTCTCTATACATTTTTTGAATCTCTTCGTCCGTTACACACGCTGTCTGATAGAAACTGTAAAAATATTAACCATAGGCTTAACAAGCTTTGTATCTGCGATTTAACGTTGAACTCTGTCTGGTAGACAGTCATTTTCACTTTCCAAAATCAATATTAAATCCTTTTGTAAGGAAACGTTAGCAAATTTATCTCATTTGGATTCGAATCCGAGACCGCTAAAAGTTTCCATAGAAGCGACCTTGCTTTGTGCGAGATCTAATTGGTTATGTCATTTACTCGGGTTATAGTTATTTAATTCAATACTAAACACCGTTGAAAATAACAGTTTTTGAGTATATGCCTATTCTTTGTTCAATTTATATTAATTTAATTAATACTAGCTGTTGCTCGCAACTTAGTGCGCGCGCAATTTAAAAAAAATACTAAAAATATAGCATATGTTACTGGCTGATAATGTAGCTTTTTAATGGTAAAAGAATTTTTGTAATCGGTCCTGTAGTTTTTGAGTTATATACATACAAAAATATGACAGTATAAGGATGTAATGGCAGATTGATAATTATAGGAGACAGAATAAGTATCATTGTAGAGCAAATATAAAAAATATTGTAATTAAATCTAACTAAAGTCGATTGGGCCGCAATTGGGTCAGCGTGGTTTGCTATGGCCTAGTCATCCTAGTTTCTTTTCTTTTTTTTTATAACATAAGGTGGCAAACGAGCAAGCGGCCACTAGAATCCACCAAAATGGCGAGGCGACCGCTGCCCATAGACATCCGCAATTGCAGATGCGTTGCCTACCCTTATACGACGGAGGAGGAGACGCACATAAAAAGGATATTTCCCCTTCCTATGCATCTCCTCCACCGTCAAATCCACTTCCCTTTTCCCAACATCTATAAGAAAAGGATGGTAAAGAGAAAGGGATTTAAATTAGGCCTCCGGCACCACACTCATTAGACGATTACATCATCAATTTTCGTCGCCTATGAACTATAGTATCCAATGCATTGTCCTTTTCGGGAAGACGAGCGTGTGCAATCAAGACTGAATGGACTTATTGTAGGTTTGTTCCGATACAATACAAACATTATATTTATCTTACTAATATTATAAATGCGAAAGTTTAGATGAATGTTTGTTAGAGTTTGTAGCCTAAACGGCTGAACGGATTTCGATGAAATTTGGTATAGATGTAGAGGATAGTCTGGAAGAACACATAGACACTCTTTTGTTTTTTATGCACACGGACGCAGTCGCGGGCGATAGCTAGTATTTACTAATTATAAGGGTATTTGAGTAATTAAAAAACCTAATACTTTAATTAAAATATTCAACATAGTTTTGTCTATCTGTGATGATAATGAACGGCTCGCAACAAAAATCGCAGAGGAAACGCGGACTAGATAATAACGGTCATTCTATGAATGTTGAAATCTTTATCTAATTAAATTTGGAAGTTTTAGCGTATTTCATTGCAGGACAATTAGTAGAAAAACTAGTTCAACAGTGGTAGAGCCCGCTTTAACATCTTCGCACGAATGGGCCGGCTCGCCCGATGCAATATCACGACCAAACAGAAAACAGGCGTAAAGTGGATGTAACTCCGCGTTTCGTTTGATGTGTGGTGCCAGAGGCCTTATCTTAGTCCCTTTACCTTTCCACCCTTTTCTTAAGAGGAATGGATGGGAAGGAAAAGTGAATTAGACGGTGGAAGAGACGCATAAGACGGGGAAATGTCCTCTTTATGTGCGTCTCCTCCTCCGTCAATTAAGGGTAGGCAACGCATCTGCAATTGCGGATGTTTATGGGCCGCAGTCGCTTACCATTTCGGTGAATTCAGGTGGCCGCTTGCTCGTTTACCACCTTGTATTATAAAAAATAATAGTTAGTAAATTGCAAAGCAGTTACGCGATAGTTTATTCTTAAACTCCGGGGGTATATAGACTGACACAAAAATTATAAGAGCTCACTAGCGCCGTCCTGTCAACGACAATACGCGTCACAAAGTATTTATGCCCGGTTCACACTTCGCCAGTACAGTTAGTAACACTTAATTTCTGGACTGGCCAACGCAACTATGCTAGCCAAATGTAAACCCGGAATTATATTACTTTAACTGTCTTGTCATCTTTTTTTCTCGTTTTCGTAATTCCAAATAATCTAAGGAAACGAAAATCTATACCGATTTTGACTTGGGATAACATAGGTTTATTTTTTTTCTGAACTAACAATAGGTCACTGCTAAAAATCGGTTCACTAGCGGCGGAGTTATGCCGTAACACACATGAAAAAAACATACAGACGAATTGAGTACCTCCTTCTTTTGGGAAGTCGGTCAAAAATGTATTGATAATAGTAACTAGATGCTTACCGTCAAATTTTTCATCCGGTATACTCGTCTCTACAGTAGACCTGAACGCATCAAGATGGCTTGTAATATTCCCTTCTTGGGGCACACCACCGTTCCTAAACTTAAACTTCCCGCTGGTCTCATTCGTCAGGAGTGCAGGGAAAAGACCAGGGTCGTAGAGAATCGCCACCTTCTCACCAAGGAAGCTGTCGTTTGCATTTTGTATAATGCCATATCTTTCGTAAAGATCGTTGAATGGTATTTTTTTCGACTTGCATTGCTTTGTTGGCACATTCCAGT